ATTATGAAAATTGGTTAAATAATTCAATTGATTATGAGCATATCAAATTCTATGAATACTCAAAATTCGTAAATTGAGTTTCAATAGGAAGTGGCTTATTTGAAAATGTTTGTCATATTAGGAAAATAAATATCTATATGCTTTGAAATCTTTTAATCACTATCAAGAAGTCATCAAAGAAATTGTAAAAGAGGTATAATATTTTGTGTAAAGGTTAGAATCAATTAAATTTTAACTGGTTTAATAAACTATTTAACAAATATTTAACCATTTATTAACTAAACGGTCAAGGATTTTTAGACCGTCTCAATCTCTAATTATATAATTATTTTAATTAAAAAAAATAAAATTAACTTGCTTTATATTTATGACAGCTTAAATTGCATCAGAATATTAATAATCATGATAACATTATACAGTTATATGAAATCACAAAGACAGAAGCTGGTGGATAATATAATTATGATATTCTTATATTATTTCTTTAAATATTTAAATGCTTTTTTTTTTAGATAGATATTCTTTAGTCTTGAAATATGCAGATAGCGGTACATTAAAAGATTATTTAGAGAAACATTTTGATGAACTTAATTGGAATGATAAATTTTAGCTAGCATTCTAACTTTCAAAAGCAGTAGAATATTTACATGAAGAAAATGTTATCCATCGTGATCTAGTAATATACATAACTTTACTAATTTAATTATTTGCCAAAATATGATATTCATTTGAACCTTTTCTTTTTATTAAACAATTAAAGCATCAAAATAACATTCTTACATATCAAAAATGTATTAAATTAGCTGACTTTAGCTTATCAAGTAAAATTACTAAAGCATCAAGTAATTCGTCAAAATTATTTGATGTGATTTCTTATGTTGACCCACAAAATTTAAAGCATTTCGATTACAAATTAAATAAAAAATCTGATGTCTATAGTATTGGCATTTTGATATGACAAATTTCAATTGGATTTTTACCATTCTATAGTGAAAATTATAATGTTGGATTAAGCATTGCGATTGTCTGTAGTAGAAGAGAAAATGATATCGATAAAACTCCTATTGAATATAGTAAATTATATAAAGGTAAATAATATTAATACAATATTTTTTTAAAATTATAAAATTTAATTTGATTTACCTTATTTATATGCTTAGAATGTTGGAAAGTAAATCCATCTGAACGTCCAAATGTATTTGAAATCATTTCAATTCTTGAAGAAATAATTTCACCTGAACAAATTGATAAGGATGAAATTATTGAAGAATCTAATTTCAATTTAAGTAAAAAAACTGTAATTAATGATTATGATTCCAAAATTTATAAATTAGAAATTAATGATTCAGATTTACAAAAATATAAATCTGATCCATTATCATTTTTTACTAAGTATTCCAGGGGCAGAGAATTTTTTCGGTGTGTAAAATCCTATTCGTCACTCCACTATTCGTCACATACATAATGCCTTAACTCACGGTTAATGCCATAATTTCTGGCCAAAAAGTCACGTGAAATTGATTTTTTGTTGGTGATCCTGGGGAACTTCACAAATGTTCCCATATCACGTGATATTTCAAAATGACGCCTACAAAAAGGAGGTGGATTTTGTTTTGTCGATCGTTGGGAATTACAATTTATTTAGAAGAATTTTTTAAAAAATATCTTTACTTCGTTTCTTGCGTACCAACTTTCGTCGTTCTTTTAAGAATGCGTTTCTTGATACAATAAATACAATAAATACTTTGACACACTTTAGCCTTTCTAATTATTATTTATGCAATGGCATGAACGTTCTCCTAGTTAAGTATTTTTTTTTATATATAATTTTGAAATAGACTTATTGCGATGATTGTATCTAGTACACTTTGCTTATCCACCTCTTCTATTGCTTTGGTTAAGAAATTAGATTTTCTTTTTTTCCTCTGTCTCATCGCAGCAGTATGTGTAGGGCTATATCTCTATAGTGCCTTTATCACGTCCTCTGCACATTAGTAAATATCCTCTGCACGCTTATTAGCACGATATGATATTTTTAACAAGATATGGCGTTGACAGTCCTCTGAGATTATTATTTCAATATGTATCCTTCTTTGTTAATGATGTATGATAAAAATCTACTTGCAGAATCGAAAATTTAACCTCGCACCAAAAAAATTTATAAGCGTTAAAAAGGAAGAAGAGAATTGATTGCTAAATTTAATGGGTGAGTAGTTCTTACTGAGTAAATTTGTCGAGTCGTTGTGTATCCGAAGTTACACTATAAAATAATCCGGGAATTGAAAGCTCTTCGTGGCCACAGTTGAGTGGGGGCATCTTTCTCTAGTGAAATGAAGAAACCTTGAAGGGAGTTTCTACGATGAAGGTCAACTGATCGGAATGAAGTTTTGGTTATGTATCTCCTTCGTAAAAATCATAGAAACTTATAAATTCATGGCGTATTTGTTTTCTACTGAGAGTGTTCTTGTTCTTCTCCGTGAACGTTCTTCCCTCCTGTTTCGATGCTTCCACTGGAAGTTTAAATGTAAATAGGATACAAGAATCAACGAATCGAAAGCTCATCGTGGCCACAGTAACAAAACGTTCTTCATGATTCTTGATGATTATGACGCAAATGCTTACATTTTACAGTATTATTTATTTTATAGTTGTCCTTGATTAATACATAATCGGGAATCAGTTTGTTGTATTAGTTTTTAATATTTGCGTTGTTTGAAATATTATTCTACAAGTGATATTCCCTTTTTAAAATTCCCTAATTTTTTCTTCTATCCGAAAACTTCATGTTTTATATACAGTATACAAGAAAATGTAGATCTTTCATCTCAACGTTTAGTGACAAATGCAAGAACACAAAATCGAAGCTTGTGTGATGCTAAATTAAAAGAACTATGCAAAAAAGGACTGGATTAGACGTCTTGGAAATAACTATATGTTACAATCTTCATTCACTTTGGTTGAAAGTCGCATTGCATTAAAAAAAGCCTCTCATTTTAATGGCAAACAGAGAGGATCGACTTACTCTACAAAAAATGATTTGGCAAACGTATTAATCGATTTTCAGCAAAGCCATACTAGCAGGGTTTGGGGAGCTTTCGTGCACCCCAGCCACGGTTAAACACAGTCCAGCCGCATGTTTTGGGTTTTTTTTTTCACGACAAGGAATCGAGACCAATTGTACCGCTTCATGGATCAGCGACACGTTAAAATACCGTGTAACCATGTTACACACGGCATTGTAATCTTTGACTCCTCGCTCAAAAGTTGATTAATTGCATTACTAATTAAAAGATATTATGATGGCTACATAACCAATCTGCGGATGACATTAGAAACAAAAATAAGTGGAAATATTACTTGCCTGGTTGTAAGGTATATACAAATTATTAACTTTTTGAATTATTAGACGATATAATCACCGTTATTATTGATGGACGGTCAATACTTCAACAAAAATATCGTAAGCGATCTTTAGCAAACAATGCCTGCTAAGTGAATGAATACAACATTCAAGTTGCAAAGACGATGGAAACTAGCTAGAACAATCAACAACTTACGGTTTTTCCCTTTGACAATTTTCTTTGCAATAATTTGGTAAGAATTTATTTAAAATTTATGAAATTGAGGTACTGTATTTTTGAGAAATTGATCATTTTTGTTGGAATTTTAAGCAGGAATTATTTGTTAATGTTACAAATTTTGTAATAGAAAATAAGCATCCAAATCGGGATTTTCTCAGAGTCAGATATTTTGTATAATTTAACGAAATGCAACGCGAAAGCGCTTTTATATTTCCAGGAAACGCATCCGAAAAATAATGACAATGGTACATAATGGATCAGAACAAAATATACAAGCATCAAATCCAGTATCATTTTTTACGATTGAATTCGCAAGCGGTGCCAACGTTGGTTCCTTGATGGGGACGTATCGATCGGTAGAATCGACCATTTTGACATAACAACATTTGTATTGGATGAAATTTGAAGAAATTACATGTACGTACGTCGTCGACGAATTGGCGAAAATGCTAATTATTCTGAACACAGAAATCTAATTTCGAAACAAAATGGAGATTCTTCGATCCAATATTGGAAAAAGCTACAACGTACACATATTTCCAAATTGTTGTTTGCTTTTGAACATTAATATCCTTTAGCGAATTTTTTTGTGGCACAGAGAATTAAATGCCGATCACAATGGAATTTTTTGTGGCTCATTTCAACCAATCATTTTCTTTGAAAAAATTTTCCCACGTATATAATATATATCGCAGATTTTCAAACTAAAAACATTTTAATCTTTTCTTCAACATAGGTGAAGCACGAAATTGTTATTTTGCAATAACTTATTGACAGCGACAATGCCGACACTAATCAAAAGGTAGTCTAGGACTACGCTCTCTTCCTTTTGTTTTGTTTTATAATTTCCTTTTTCTTTTTTTCATTACAAAAAAAAAAAAAAAAAAAAAAAAAAAAAACCACAAATAACCTTAGTTAAAGTGATACATCTGCTGGCCAGTGAATTCACTCCCTGAACTAAGGATAGAAAGAAGTATCCTCTCGTTTCGTACTATTGGCAAATCAAGTAGAAAATATGGGTTCGCTTGTCCTATGTCCAATTTGCGTCGAAGTGCTTCTGCTAGTTTAGCTTTAGATTGTTTATCCTTTGTTTCTTCTTTTATATGTATTTACATAAATTCTATATGAATTTATCTAATGTATTAGGTAAAGCTTAACGAAAGTCGTACGCTTAGACTTCTTACGATTACGTCCTTGCTGACAATTTAGAAGTTGAAACACAACAATAACGCTAACTCTTACCAAGAGGTAATGGATTTTTTTAAATCACGCCTTCGTTATGATGATTAATTTTACTAACTACATTGGTTGTACTCCTTTCCTTTATTCTTTTTTTTTTATAATTTCCTTTTTCTTTTCTTCAATATATATCTGTTGGTCAGAGAAGTAAGTCCTTAATGACCAAAATTTATCCTCTCTATTGGCAAAGCAAGCGGGTGTGCTTGTTCTATGTTCAATTTGCATCAAATTGATTCTGTTAGTTTAGCTTTAGACAGTTTTCTTTTGTTTCTTCTTCAATATGTATTTATTGTTATCCAATAAAATTAATGGCCTGCTACTTTTCCTACTATTGATTTAAAATTTTCAAGATAATATTTACTTTTAACGCTAAAGAAGGGTTTATATGTCAGTTTTTTATTCTTTACAATTTTTTGCAATAAATTAATTAAGAAATATTAAAGTTTCCATACGGAAACTATATTTAGTTATTGTGAAAATTTGGATTCACGTTAAACTGTTTGAAATTTCATTTCATTTTTGCCCATGTTTGATATTTTTCAGTAGATATTTATTTATTTCAATGTATTGTTGGTGTAGAATTTGCAACTACTTAAAACTCCGACATTCATTGATGAAGTTCAATGTGGTGCGTACAAATTGATATCGAAATTAAATAGCAGAACAGGAAATATGTCTTTTTTTTGCACTGGAGTAAATTCTTAATCATGTATACATAATAGTTATTTAATCCTCCTAAACTTAAAAGAAGTTTAACAAAGTTTAACTGCTGTAATTTTAAAATTTTTATTATTGTTGTAAATCTTTATTAATTTTAGACAACATAATCAGTAACTTTGCAAATATACCAACCAATTGTTTCGGAAAAAATTGCTAATGCGTCTCCTGCACGGTCTTTTTTTTAATTCAATGTTACCCACATCAATACTACATATTAAATTTTGATGAATAAGTAGTGAAATAAAATAAACACACGCAGATTACTTTGTATTGATAATGCTGCTGATGATTTTCCAAATGATGGAACCTTTTGACAAAGGTTCTACATTATGATTAAATGCTTTTGATAAATCTAAAATTGATATTTTTTATCTTAATATACACCTGTAAGTAATTTCTATTATTTTCACTCAACCGGCTGTCTGATCTTCAGAAAAAAATTTCAGCTAGTAAACTTTATTTGATAACCTACTTTCACAGCCGGAACTTGCATTATAAAGTGCAGTTCCCTTCAAAACAAATCCCCATAAAAAGGAAAAATTGAATTAAGCTTTCTATAACTATCAATGAAAGATTAAATTAATTAACTACTCCAAAAATTGACGCGCTACTTCTTTTAGGTGCATATGCTTTTGCTGAAGGTGGGAAATTTTCACAACTAAAAATTTTACTTTATCCTCGGCCCTTTCATAATATTCTATGCCTTTTCCCGGTACAAGTTTAGTACTTTTTATACATCTGACAAGCCAATTCATCTGTTTAACTTGTGGTTCTTGCGTTTTCAAGCCGACAATTTTTCCTAATATTGTAATATAAAATTATTAATTAGTTTAATAATTGTAAAATTTATATTGATAATATTTACACTTAAAAATACGGCATCCAGTACCGACGCCAATACTAAACTTTGTTTCCTTTCTTTAAATCTTTTTATATACGACCTATATAAAGTAATAAAGGATTCAATATAAACAATCAATTGAACGTGATAAATTAAAACCCAAGGCAACGCCAACAACATTTTAAATACTAGTACATTGAAATCTGATATACGTTATAATTTTTAAAAGAAATATATAAGTAAACTTTTTCGTTACATGATCTCAAATTTTGTAAAATTTACTCACACCTTTGCAAGTACAGCAGATAAAATCAGAATAATAGTTATTCACAATCCTCGAGTTCTTTATGATTTCTAACAAACCCTCTAGAATTTCTTTTTTTTCTTCCATTTGGTTGAACCTAAGAGGATATATGATGTTAAATTAAGAATATTTTAAAATTAATATTGTATAATATATATGTTAACAATAATTATAGAATTCTTTGTAATACGCATCAACCTTTTTCTCTTCAGCTTCGACTTCATCACATTTGTATATATTTCCAACCAAATGCTTCATAATAATACAGAACAATACCTTTACCAGCTTCCGTCGCTTCCTTGTCAGTTACTTATCGCTCCCGTTGAGATTTTCCTTGTGGTAATTTTTCAAATGCATCATTCAATTCTTTAATCTAGAATGAAATCTTCAATTGAAATATCTATCGCATTAAATAAAAGCGATACAAACGTTTTATATGTAAAAACATGCAGTACCTAATTAACTCCTAAAGTGCATGAACAACTTTGGACATCTTCCTAAAAATAATAATTTTTTTTTTAATTAACACACAACTATGGGATCTACTGTATATAAAAGTATGAGTTTTATTGCTTTAGATTTTGTTCCATAACTAATTGAGCTGAAACTTATCAACAACGACCAGTTTAATAGCAATTTGAAGAGACTGGCCTAAAGTAAACGTTGAAATTGAGACATAGGCGCCAGTTTATAAACCGTTCATTTCTATTTTAACAAGTTAAAGAGAAAGAAAAAGTTAAACTTACCTTAATGGACTTTGTGCATTATCAACTAGGGTCTGTCGCAATGTTTTTCAAAGTAGCTTTCACCTTTCTGATTTTTTTAAATACAGTAGTTTTGTAAGTTCTTTAAGAGGTATTGACTAATCGTCCTCAGGTGCACAACAGACGCAGATTTAAGAAGTATACAATATATAAAAACAATGAGGGAAACCTTTGAATAAAGTTATAATTATGAAAATGACGAGCCATGTAAAGAAAAGAGAACAAGGGCGAGATAAGTACAGTAAAGTAGAACACAAAGTTTTTCGATAAAACATAAATATAATATTTTAAAGAAAATTTATAAAAATAAAATAAAAACTTTGAGTGATTTTGAATGACTGCTGATATTTGCCTCTGGGTATGACCCAATGTAGTGGATACAACTCAATAATTATTTAATTCCAAATCTTATAAATTGTAGTCTTCACGTGATTAAAATAAATTTTAATACAAACAATATAGTACTTTTTTTTTGTAATTACAAACCGAAAAGTAGGTTATTTTTAATATTTTATTAAATTTCAAACCACGATAAAAAAAAAAGTAAAATAATGTGTATCGTTTAATTGATATTCCGGTTTTGCTTACTAGAACGTATTATAATCCTCCTTATTTTACTGTGACTATGCTTCTGAAAGATTTATTTATTCTTTATATAATGGAAAGGATTCGAAAAATTTTAATATTAGTCGAGTTCGAGATAGTAATTATGTGATGTATGAATCGCGGCAATAGTGATTTGATGGAATACTGGTTCATGCAATCAAGCAATATTTAAAATTACAAAACATATAACCCCAATTTATTGTATAAGGTTTATGTTAACTTTACATCATTTAATGGAGAATCATCTTGGACAGTTTGTGATTACGATAGAGTTTTCTTTATATTAACGGAATTTCTTATAAGGACTTATTAAACGAAAATTTGTATTCTACAAACATTTTTAAATGTATTTCGAATTTTTTTATTTCTAGATTGACACAACCTTTTTTTAAAATTGGCTTGAAAGATGTTATTATCAAAGTTTGAGACAAGTATTTCATGCACATTCTAATATTTTGAGAGCTAGCTCTTATTTGAATCGAAGAAATGTATTTACAAAAGACAATAAAATATGTTTAATAAATTCTTTCGCTTACAAAATGTCAATGTTTTATTTATTTCTGGTAAAGGATAAAATTTAGTGAATATTTAAAACTCATCAAAATCTTTGGGCTGAGCAAAAGAATTTTCTATTGGTAACTATGATCATGTCTGTAAAGTTTTAAAAGAAATTGTCACTAAAAGACAAATAGAATGTAAAGGAGACTTCAAAGAGCAAAATTAAACTGTTATATAAATTTAATGAAAAAATGTTAGGATGGGTTGAAGCTGCTAAAGTTTTTCGCAATATGAAAGTAATATAGAATTTGATATTGCAGATAAACTTTTAGAGCAAAAAAAAATGTTAATTTAATATACCTATTATTGAAACTTATTCGCAAGCATACAAGTTGTTTACTTTGAATTCTAAATTAATAGGATTGGTTATAATATTGACCAGGGCAATGAATTACTGTAAGGGAATTAGTCAAATCTTTAAAATCAATTTCTGGGTCATTACCCGACATTCATTTCGTTGACACTCGTTCGCCGATAATCAATATACCTACGGACAATCTCATTTCACATACTGCAAAAATAATAATATAATACTTTTTAATTTATACACAAAAGGAGATCGCAATATTTATTATACTATTTAATTTATATTTAAAATGAAATCACAATATGCCACCCGACAGAAAAACCCAAATCCCCGCAGCTTACAATACTGTCATCCTTTTGGACTCTCCCAAATCACCAAGAAATCCAACTAATTAAGGGGGTTTTAGATGTTGACTTTACCATTTAATGAAATAAAAATTTAATTATATACAAACTTAAAATATAAATTTATTACTCTTAATTTATAAATGTTTAATAAAATTAATAATTCCGTACCTTATTTTTTTTTTTTTTGTAGCCGTCGGTGATCGAGTGAGAGATCCTATCGGTGAAACGGGGTATCGGCGTAATTATTAAATTCGACTAATATATTTAGGGTATTTTATTAATTGTCATTATGATTGTATAATGGAATGGAGTAAACATTTAATATATGTTTTAACAAAGGCAAGCGTATATAATTATTTTGCTTGTGTTTTTTTATTTGACTCACTTTAGGTAATGAACTAATGTAATGGTATGCGATTTATTTTTCTTTTTTTTTTTTTGTAAAGTGTTGGTTTCGTATTTTTTATTTTTAAATCTGCGCATATATTTCGAGATTTAGATATAGTAAGATTAGAATGAATGAAATTTTGTATTACTAAAATTTACAACTTGGAGAACGAATGCAAAGCAATAATTACTTGATCTAATTGATTCTCTGAGTCAATAAATAGATATGAGAAATTAATGTTTGTAATTCTCAATTCAATATGCATGTTAAAAATGACGATTGGTAATAAATATTTAGCAATTATTTTTCGCACCTTTATTTTTCTTTTAAAAAATCATAATTATTTCCTAATGCATTGTTGTAAAAGTATATATTCTTTTTTTGGTCAAATGTTAAAAAAACAAAATAACGGTTATTTAATATGCATAATAAATCAATCTTATTAGAGAATTACAAACTTTCGTAATATCGACTGCATAACGAATAGTGAAGCCAAATCTTCAATATCAATTTCTTTGAGTTGGGCAGGTTGAAAGATTACATATCATATTTATTATTCAGTTGTTTTATATAATTAGACTTGCTAAATATTATGTCAATTTATCTTTTAAGATGTTATCGAAAGAAATTGTCATAATCAATAACCACTCATCTTTATTATTTGCAAATTATTTTAGTAATTTTAAATAGTATGTTGGTTACATTTCGACAAATATCCTCTTTCCGACTTTTCGAATTCGGAATATACTTCTCCAGTGAATCTAAAATGACCAATATAGATTGTTATATTTGCAATTTGTTAAATCAAGATTTTTCGATAGTCAAATAACTTATGCGCGTGCGAATTTTTTTGAAAAAATAAATTTGAATGTTTATTACATCACAAAGTATAAATATATGAAAAAAAAATAAAAACATTCTAATGTTTATATTGGCGAATTAGATAAGGTAATCATCAGATTATTTCGTAGCTGAGGGTGAGCAATTTGTGTATTGTTCACTGAATATCTTAAGGAATTTGTATAGAAGGTGAGCTGATTATTTGTGTATAACCGCAGGAAAAAGTTGTTTGTAAATTTTAAATATCATAGTAAGCTGCCTGAATTGTTAACCTTATATAATATTATACATAAATAATAATTGATTCTTGGAACTTGATTTTTCTTGAAGCTAAGTTTCTTTCTTTCGAATCTACTTGCTTTTCATACTTTTCTTTAAATCATGGTAACTATAACTAGCTTACCAGCCTTACCAAACTCTTTAACAATACTTACCAACCTTGCCAAACTCCTTAATAAAACTTTGGTGTTTTGACACACAAATAAATAGCTTACCAAATTCACCCTATTTCTTAACGGATATCAAACCTAAATCTTTAAAAACTCAACACTCTAATATTTTTTCTATAAAATCCGTCTACAATGTTCAAGTAGGTAAAATTAAGCTTTCTTAATATATAGACGTTCGATGTTATTTTAATTTAAATTAAAGGATTTATTTTTATAAATCTTTCCTTCATTTATCTTATAAATTATTTTTCGGCAATATTTTACATGAGCTTAATGATAACTCATTGCATTTTAAATCAAAAAATTGAATTATCATAACCCATTTTATCAAACTCTTAGCTTTACTTTTTAATAAAAATTGTGGATTTAAATTTTATGATCTTCTTATCAATGTAATTATATTTGAACTTAATCTTTCCTCATTGTATAGATTTTAACCTTAAAAAAATATAATAATTTTGACTTGATATATTTGATTCGACATTATCAATATAAATTTTATCAAAAACAAACGCTGATTTTCAGGTTATCGATTATATATGTCGCTTGATATACGTATTTATAAAAAAAATACAAGTATCATTTTCATATAAAAGGGTAATTGTTTTTATAAACTAATTGAGCACTTATTCATTAAATTATTTAAGGTCGTACACTTTATTAAATTAATTAAGTTCCGATCATTATTAAGATTCATCAACTTTATTATATCAATTCCTAACAATCACTTCATTTTGACAAATTAATATTGCATTGTCTCTCCAATAGTTGACTAAAATTAGAAAGTTTCTTATATTTAACCCTATATAAATAAAATTCATTTCGATGATTCATTGGTATTAATGTAAATTAAACATCAAAAAAAATGAAAATTTTCAGAGAGAGGGTAGAAAAAAACCCAGCATACGCTAACGAATTATGTAGCTTAATTTATAGTGCTGGCCTAAGTTGATTTTAACCGGTTATTAACCGGTTAAAAAATTTTTGGCCGGTTCCACC